GGCGGGCGCCGCCGTGCTGCTGGTGGAGATGCTGGAGCGCGCCGCCTTCTTCGGGATCTCGGCCAACCTGGTGCTCTACCTCAACAGCAAGAATTTCAACTGGGCCGGCCACCAGGCCTCACGCGCCGCACTCGTCTTCCTGGGCGCCTCCTACCTGCTGGCACCTGTGGGCGGCTGGCTGGCTGATGTGTACCTGGGCCGCTACCTGGCCTTGGCGCTCAGCCTGCTGCTCTACCTGGGCGCCTCAGGCCTGCTGCCCGCCACTGCCTTCCCCGACGGCCGCCGCTCCTTCTGTGGCGAGGTACCAGTGACGCCGATCGGGCCCGCCTGTCCCTCGTCCCACTGCCCACATACCCCGCCCAGCCCCTACTGCGCGCCTACTCTCTACGCGGCGCTGCTGCTGCTCGCCCTGGCCGCCAGCTCCGTCAGGACCAACCTTACCTCCTTCGGTGCCGACCAGGTAGGTGGCGCCTCAACGGGAGGCCCTGGGGATAAGCAGGCAAAGCAATGAACTTGAGATGGTGACTGGGAGTCAGGAGCCACCAGCACCTAGCGTGACCTCGGACAAACCACTTCCCCCTTTCTGTATCAAGTTTCCTTATATCTAAGATACCCCTAACCGGTTGCCTTCCAGTAGATCCTGACTCAGAGCGACCCCAAAGGATAGAGTAGAACTGCCCCATAGGGTTTCCAAGGCTGTAAATCTTTACGGAAGCATGTCACATCTTTCTCCCCCAGAGCGGCTGGTGGGTTCCAACTGCAGACCTTTTGGTTAGTAGCCTAGCGCCTTAACCACTGCACAACCAGGCCTCCTGGGGCTGCTTATATCTAAGATGAGGAGCGCAAACCTTAGCAACAGCAGTAATAACCATAGTTGGCCTTCTTTGAGCTATGTACCAGGCCCTATGCTAAGCACCTTCAATGTTTAAACTCGGTTAATCCTCTTAACTAGTCCCTGGGTGGTGCAAACTGTTAAGCAGCTTAGGTGCTAACCAAAAGTTTGGAGGTTGGAGTTCACCCTGAGGTGCCTCAGAAGAAAGGCCTGGTGATCTACTTCCAAAATATCAACCATTGAAAATCCTATGGAGCACAGTTCTACTCCGACACACATGGAGTCACCATGAGTCATAATTGATTCCATGGCAACTGGTTTGGTTTTTGACGTTAATCCTCTTAACTACCCATTTAAAAAAAAAAAATCCGTAGGTGGATAGTATTATTATGTCCATTTTACAGATAAGGAAACTGAAGTTCCACAACATTGATCAACTTGTCCAAAGTCACATACAGAGCAAGTCAAGGGTTACTAGCAGCTGAGCTCCCAGCCCCATCTTGAGCCCCATCTTTATGTGTTATATGGATCTGGGGGACTAGGGCAGGAGCAGCCCCCTCCTACCAGCAGTGCCAGGGATTGAGTCAGGCAGACTCTGGTTCAGATCCCAGTTCAACCACTCACTAGTGAGGGGCACTTGAGCAGACATCTTAATCTCTGGGTCTTCCTGTGTAGCCCCTAGAACAGAGCTCAATAGATACTTGCTGAATGAATGAGCAAATGTCTAATGACAAGGCTATATTTTAAAGCTCTACGCAGGGGGGTATTAGGCAATCATTTAAAATTATGCTACAAGGACTGTGCAATATCTTAAAACAACCAAGTATGGTGTTAACAAGCAAAAGAAGGAAGCAGAACAGCACACACAGGATAATTACAACCATATGAAAAGACCGTTATTAGTAGCCTTTGAGATGACTCTGACTCATGGCAACCTGATGTATAATAGAATGAAATGGTGCCAGTCCTGCACCATCTTCATGATTGTTGGTGTGTCTGAGTCCGTTGTGGTGACTATTGTGTCAGTCCATCTCACTGAAGGTTTCCTTTGTTTTCACGGACCCTCTGCTTTACCACCCATGATGTCCCTTTCTAGCAATCAGTCTTTCCTGATGACGAGTCCAAAGCAAGCGAGCCAAAGTCTCACCATTCTCACTTCCAAGGAACATTCTGGTTGTTTTTCATCTAAGAAAAGACTAGATGTCAACTAAAGGGGAAAACTGAAGAAAAAAAAAGTAACAGTGGTATGATCAGGCCACTAGACTAATAATGCTTCTTTTTTTCTGTTTCTGGTTTTTAAATGCATGCATTAAAATCATAAAGGGGACATTTTAAAAAGAATCCTCTCATCCTCCTGGCATCCATGACTGTGCACACAACAGTTTCCAGTGTCTTTGCCAGGAGTCATTCATCCAGTCTGTTTGGATTCCTTTGACAATGGGGTACTCACTGCCTCAAGCAGCCCTGTCCATTTCTGGCCCACTCCTGGACTTCCTTCAGACCAGGAGACCCCAACACCTGCTGATAGGAATCTCCCATCTTCCCTAATTCTACTCTTCCATTGACATCCCATGTCACTCCCAAATGCCCTTGACCTGTGACCTTAACCTCATTGACCTCCAGAGGACCTCAGCTGTCCAGTGTCCCCTGCCTCTCTCTCCTCCTGGTGGCAGAGCAGGTCTCTGGTGACAAGAACAGTGACAAAAAACTCCCACGCATTCTCTCATGTACTGAGCATGGAGTCTGGGCAGAGTGAGGCTTGAAGGCTGTCTGAAAGGATCTGAACTTGACCCCTAAGACAGTACAGGGATGGACATCACTGGATTTGAGTTCTGAAAAATGGCTGCAGTATAGAGTGGATGGAAGGACAAGAGTGGGTGCATCAGAGCCGTGAGGAGGCTGCTGCGGAATTCAGAGGGCAATCAGACTGGGGATGTGGGGGTGGGAGGGTTGGCACCATCTGGCAGACATTTATACCCAGGAACTGCATGTTTAACAGACTTGCTGATTGCAGAAAGCACCATCCATCATTCTAGGCAAAGTGTTTGCTCATTCTGGGGGAACTCATTGATATCCTAAACATACTGCCTGATTGTCCCCTTAGAGTTATAATCGGCATGTTCATTTACTTCCGATTAATAAGTGGATGTGGCTGCTCATAATGGGACTTACTCAATTTTCTGCTGGAAAATCTAGAGCAAGGATTCTCAGTGAGTGGATGTGCCACTCCCTCCCCATCACCAAGAGAAAACCTCAGAGTCTTCAAGGGAATGTTGTTTTAAAAGCTTCTTTATGGATAATAATTTTATGTTTAGCCAAGAAAAAAAAAAAATGCCTGTCTTTTCACAATGCAACTACAGAAAGTAAAGCTTGGCAAATTCATCTTACCAAAAAAAAAAAAAACCCTATCGCTGTGGAGTTGATTCGATTCCAGCTCATAGCGACCCTCTAGGACAGAGTAGAACTGCCCCATAGGGTTTCCAAGGTAGATTCGAACTGCCAACCTTTTGCCATCAGGGCTCCTACTGGAGATGTGTATTTGTGAATGGAAGGACAGTAATGTTTCTGAGATGTTGGGGTTTATAAAAAGGGTGAACGGTTTAACAATGTAGAGAATCATTTATCTAGAGAAGTGACTCCAAATGCTCATTGCTTTTTTTTTTTTTGTAATTTTTTTCTATTGTTTTAGAGATATACACACCAAAAACATTCGCCAGCACAACCACTTTACAGTTCAATGACGTTGTTTACCTTTTTCATGTTGAGCCACCATTATCGTTATCCTCGTTGCTTTCTAAAATGCAGATGCCAGGGCCCTCCTCCAGACCTGCTGAGTCAGAATCTTGGAACAGGGGCTGGGAAAGGTGGGGGCAGCCAGTGCTGCTGACCCAAACCAGTAGACTGGAAGGGGGCCTGGGGCCTCGCGCCTGACTGCTGCAGATTGATTCAAATGCTGGGTAAAGATTTTCAGCCCATCCACCCTTGCTGGGGGACCTAAAAGAAAAAAATTTTTTTTTTCCACATAGCCAGAATCACTCTTGGGGCTATGTCCAGGACTACATGTTTCCTTAATGATGCCAACCTTGTTTAATTGGGCACATTATCAGAGGGAGGCAAGTCAGGGGGAGAGATAAACAGCAATAGAATACTCTGCAGCTCCAAACTGCAGGGGAAATTCTCCATCATATTTCTAGCTGTTCTTTCAGTAATATGCATGCATCACATTTAATCACAGGAAGCAGAATTGAGGTCTTTATTGGCTTTTTGTCTGATTCTAGAAGTCGTACATACTGCAGGTTTGCACAGTCAAAAACAAAGGAGTAAATTGGCCAGAAATGAACGAAGTAGCATCTGAGACATCTGTTGTGTGCTCTACCTGGTGATGTAAAACAGCAGTGTGTGTCACGGGCACGAACAGACAGCTGCACCGAAACGTCCTGATCATTAGCAAGTGACTCCCAAGAGAAGGATTCATTCATTCATTCAACAAACGTTTACTGAGTGTCTATTTAGTGATTAGAGCCTAGGAAAGTGCCAGAATGCCCGCCCACTGACCCAAGAAGCATCTCTGTGGGAGAAGGGGGTACAGGTACAGAGGATACAACATGGGCAGAGTGCTCCTGGACCTCCTTGGGCTCACATTCACCCATGCCTGGCAGGTGACGAGTCTTGGCCGCAGTGCCACCCATCGCTTCTTCAACTGGTTTTATTGGAGCCTAAACCTGGGTGCTGTGCTGTCGCTGCTGGTGGTGGCCTTTATCCAGCAGAACATCAGCTTCCTGCTGGGCTACAGCATCATCGTGGGCTGTGTGGGCCTGGCATTCTTCATCTTCCTCTTTTCCACCCCTGTCTTCATCATCAAGCCCCCCACAGGCAGCCAAGTGTCCTCTATGCTTAAACTTGCACTCCGAAATTGCTGCCCCCAGCTGTGTTGCCGATACTCTGCCAGGTAAGGAGTGGGCCCTGGGTGAAGGGGGCCATCAGACCTGGAGAAGCTCCATACTTCTCCTGGAGAGGCATGGTCCAGATTGGGGACACTCTGGTTCAGCCCCAGTGACAGCCCTTTATTCTGATTTACTCTCCAGGGGGCCAGAGTTGCCCATAGTGGCTAAGGATGGTGATGGAGGTCAAAGTGGTGGTGATGGTGTTATTGGCAATGGGCTAACTGCAGAAAGTGTAAAGATGTTAATGATCTTGATAGTGATGGTGGTGATAAAGAGGGGGATGATAGTGTTTGTTATCTACAGTGAAGATAAACAGTGGTAACAGTGATGACAGTGGTAGGTGGTGATCACAGAGATGATGGTACCAGTGAAGGTTGTTGGGATACAATATGAAGAATTCTACACTACCCTCATATTAAGTACGAGAAGGTCTAAGAAATCAGACACCCTTGCTCCCTCCCTCATTAGCTGACAGCCAAGGCAGAAAGGTTCTGAATGGCCTTGTAGGAGCCCAGTGGCCTCCTTTGGCCCCTCTCCTTCCTAGGTAATTGACCACTTATGCTAAGCAAATCTGTTTTATGTGCTGTCCCTATGGCCCCACAGAGACCCACAAGGTGCCCAACTACTCCCTGACCAGAGGTCTCCCCAGCCTGGCGCTTCCCCACAAGAGGATGTCACCAACTTCCAGGTGCTGGTGAAGATCTTGCCCATTATGGTGACTCTGGTGCCCTACTGGATGGTGTACTTCCAGGTGAGGACCCCCTGACCCTTTGCTCTGGGAAGGGGGTGCTGGCTCCCCAGTCTTCTCACTGGGCTCAACTCTCACCACAGAAGCCTGGGGCATATGGGAGCAGGAAAAGGGAAAGAACCAAGTGAACTGCTGCTAGGTACCAGCATGTGTTTGTGGAATGAATCTCCCTTGGTGGGGAGAGGCAGGTGGTACAGCAAGAGGAACTGTTGAGACAGAGGCTCAGCTCCTTGAGTAAGTTGCTCCATCTCTCTGGGCCTAAGTTTCCTCATGTGCAAACTGGTAGCTTAGACTAGAGGCTCTTCCAGCACTAAAGTGTTTAGATTCTCCGGCTTAGCAACTGGGCCCAGAGAAGGTGTGTTGGCTGCTCAAGGTCCCACAGCAGGTTAGGAGCAAGCTCAGTGCTTTACAACAGAGGTTCCCCAACCTGGCTGTGCCTCAGAATCACTTGTGGAGCTTTTAAAGTAAATACAGATTTCTAAGTCTCACCTGACAACTGAATTGGAATTGCTTAGGGA